TATTCAGCAGCAATCCCCAAATATTGCTGTGATATTGTAAACGTGAGAGTTTTGGACCATTCCAGTAGAATTCTTTAGTTCTTTCTTATAAGGTTCTCCAGGACTGGCATACATTAATATTTTGGCACAGTTAATAGTGCTATTCCCATTGATATTACAATATACATTATAAGCTTCCATATTATCTTTTTTTCCCTATTTATTTACAGAGAATCCAAAGAGTACTTGGGACACGATCCAAAAATATTTTACAGAATTGCGCCACACTGTATAAAACCAGGCAATGTGCCAAAGAAAATGGGAGGAGGAAGGAAAGAAGAATCCAAAGGATAGAGCTAGCAAAAAGGGGTGAAAAAATGGTTTAAAAAACTGATTTAAAGATTAGACAAATTTACTTTTTACTTAATCAACAGAAAAATTTATGAAATTTACCTAAGCAGTGATTAAAGGAGCTATTATCACTGTCACGTGACAAGGCAAAAGGGTCACAGAGAGTTGCTTTCCTCCAACTCTGAATAAGAAACTTAATCAGCACGAGAAAAACATTATTTCTTCAGCTATTCTGCCTCTCTCTACTTCACTGTCAAATTTCTGCGTAGAACCTTGCTTAGCCCCTCCTACCTGGATTCCTGCTAGAAATTTAAAGGAACAGCATACATATCTTCATAGCCATTTGAAGCTGGACTGCCAAACGGTAGACTGAAGAAATCCTTAGCCCCACAAGCTGTTTATAGACGACTACTACTGATGCTATATCTACACTTAAAAACGCTGCTGCAGCTGTGTTGCTGTAGCACTTCAGTGTAGACAATCACTACAGCAACAGGTGGGGTTCTCTTATTGCGGTAATTAATACATCTCCCTGAGAGGCGGTAGCTAAGTTGATGGAAGAATACTTCCATTAACCTAGTGCTGTTTACACCAGTGGTTAGGTCAGCATAGCTGCGTCTCTTGAGACGTACCTATGCCAATGTACCTTTTCAGTGTAGACCAGCCTGAAGTATTTGGGATTGGGGAGCAGCAGAGATGGTCTTCAAATGCCCCTTTCTGTAGGATTTGACCCATGCAGATCCATGCTGAGCACAAATCACATTTGTGGGAGATACTCACTTTCTTACTGCCTATGTTCTCCTGTGGAGACCTGCCAGGGAAGTCACATCTACAGCCAGCAGAGAAGAACAGAAATCCCTCACACAAATCTCTGCAGACTAGTCTCAATGCAACAAAAATGTAGCTTTTCATTTGAGCAATGTATTCGCAGGCAGGGTACTTCAGGATTTGACCACATCAACATTAAATAGGCAATACTTTGAATGTATCAAAATGAAGCAACTATATAAGTGAGCTGTAAAGTATTTCCTTTGGGAATTTTGTTTTACTTATTATCAACCAACTCACTTTGTAGTTGACGCCCAAAATCTGTGTGCCTTTTTGCACATCATCTTTTGTATATGCAGTCATTACAACTGGACATAAAAGTCACATGCAAATGCCAAATTTGTGCAGACAAATGCATTATTGACACAAGTAAGTGAATGGACTTCATGCCTTGCTTTATTAAAATCTGCTATATATATTTTAATATCATTAAATTTAACAAAATGCCAATATTTTATAGAGAAACAAATTAGCATAATCATTAAGACTAGTTTTCTGAAATAGAGTATTCACCCAATACATAATCTGTAGCTTGACATTAATTAATTAAAATTCAGCAACAACAAAAATCCATATAGCTGGCTGACATCCTTTTGAGAAATCTGCTGCCTCCGTAACTCAGATTAACAGATATAAAACAAATCTGAGTTTCAAGGTTAAGGATAAAGTTAAACATATCATTGGATTTAATAGTTAAGACCAATGAGTGGCTCAGTTTCTGTATTTATCACGCAACTTTATCAAAAATAGTGGGCCCAATCCTGCTCCTATTGAAGTCAACCAGAATTTTGCCACCAATTTCAACAGGAGCAGGCTCCTAATTTGGAAAATCTGGGGGAAAAAATCCCAACTAGTAATACAGTCAAAGTCCAATTCTTTTTTTTTTTAAATCATTACCAGAGCTGTGAGCATATTGCCGGCTCTTGTGATTTCATTGTAAGTCTTACAATATTTGGGATTTTTCTTAAAGTCCCAGCTCATGGAGCTATGTTGTTATATGAAAATCCCAGAGTGCATTTTTTGTAAACAGTAAATTGCTATCCATGGTTGCAGAGAAAAGCTTGAAAATTAAAACCCTAAAGGCTCAAAAAAGGTAATTAAAGACCCCCAAATGTATTTTTTTAATCTCAATTTTGGGGGCCCATTTCCTGATTTTTGAATGCCTGAGTTTAACAGTACTGCTATTATATGGTTAACCAAGAGATTAAACTGGTTATATTTATTAACTGACCAATATAATGTCTTATTTTTACATAGTAACTTTCATCCAAAACAATCCTAAAGCTCTTTATAAACAAGGGCCTATATTCACCCTCCCCCAGGAAAAAAAAATGAAAGGGTGATCAGAAAATAGCAGCTTTCAAACCATGGAAAAGCTAAGATTCTCAATATAAGGGCAGGGAGATTTGTGGCCTAGCAGAGAGAACAGAAGTCTCAGAGAAGTTTGGCCTCACTCATGCATTCCCATGCATCAATGCAGTTAACATCCCCTCTGTGCTGCTGCCTAGTCCCCTTTCATGGCAGCATAGCTCACCTTGGAGGCCTCTGAGCTGAGCACTAACTCCTTCTGTGAGACAGAAACCAGAGGGAGAATTAATACTGAAAAGAGCAGCGTTAACTTCTGCATTGATCTGCACTTGGGAATCTGCTGGTTGTTGAGGGGAACATGTTCCCTGATTCCATCCCCCTCTCTAATGTCAGTCCAAAACTCACAGAGCCCCAACTGTGCAAAGTCCACGAGGAAGAACTTCCATGTGGTCACGAGGGGTTGTAGAACATGTCTTTCAGACACCACTACCTTTCTTGTAGACTTCTCAACACAACATGCAATAGTCCAGAATTTAGCCAAATATTTATAAATATTTTGCTCACTACTGAAATGCAGCCACCTGTGAAGGGAACCCAGCAGTTACTTAGCTGCACCCATCAATCCAACACAACAGTTTAGGGCAGGAATGGAAGAGAGTATCTCATGGAAAACAGAGGCGGAAAGCAGTCAGAATGTAATTACCCCAATATGGAGTTTGGCCAAGAAATCATGACCAAATAAATAATGCAGGTACTGAAATGTGTACAAGTGTCCATTTAAGTAGTAGCAAGTCAACAGAAGCCAAGAAATCTGAAATTAAGGCTGAAATTTCATCCACTTTTTTTTTTTAAAACCATCGTATAAGGTAGATCAAATGCCATACAAGCATGCTCCAGACAATCCTGCTTAATGGAAATCAAACTCAGATTAAAATGAACACCTACCCTTTTAGAAGCATAAATAGGATATGTGGATGGGCACTAATGTATTCCACAGTAGGGCTTCGAGTGCCAATTTGTCTTCTCAAGATGTTGTTAAATATCTGGGACACATCCTTTTTGCCCTATTAAAGAAACAAAACATAGTTGCAAGTGTGAAAACATGAAAGAATTTGATTATTCATTAGAGTCTTTATTTACAATAGGAAAAGAGACCCAAAACAGAACAAGTCAACACCAGCTTGCCCTACCTGTCTTTCTTTGCTGTTGACCCCCCACATCTTATTGCTCGAAAGATGGGTGCATCTTCAATGGCTCAACAGGATCCTTTGGTTCCCCCATCTATTTGTTCTGGACAATACCAATTCCACCATTTGCATTTTTCTTTTGCCAAAAATGCAGACAAAAACCAAATCCTTTGTTCTGTTAATTAGCAACATGTCTCACCAGTGATGCACATCTGCTCCCTTAGCCCCCAAATTCTGAGTCCTCACAGCAGCACTCAAACCGAGCTCCCAATGGGGCAGTGCAATGCATGGTTTTGACCCACTTGGTCAGACTAGACTTTTTTTCCTTTTATTACTATCACAATCAAAATGATAGCTCAAATTTAGCTAACTCTTACTCTTAAAAAAAAACTATTTTTTATAACTTAATTCCAACCCCTAATATACAGCAACGTGCCTGGTGTACTGAAGGACAGGACTAGCATTCCTCTTATAATCTTTATGTTAACCTTAAGTATAAGACAAACGTTATTGTCATTATCTGTGCTCTGGTTTTTTGTTGTTGTTGACTCTACTTTATTCCCCCAAAACTGGACGAGATTGGTCCATAACTTCTCTGAAGCTCCGAGGAACCCTCTCATTTTCTCCTGCTATTACTCTCCACATATACATCTTCTGAATCTTGTACCACATTAACCGGAACGATGATGACTAAAGACTTCTTAGAAGGCTCTTCTGAGCCATTTTGTAATCACCCAGAGAGGTTGCTGTTGCAAAAGTGGAGAGAGCCACATTAAAAGTCTTGTAGTGGATAAATATTGGGTCATAATGGACAATGCAAACCATAGGAAAGTGTTATTTATAATCTGTATAATATTCATAGATGCATTACAAGAAGACAAACACATTCCTTGGCTGGGAAATTAATGAAGGTCTCAAGGCAAAGGGCAGATAGTTTCACACAGCAGAGAATTTTCTTAGCTTCATCCTTGCAAATAAATCACTCTTGAGAAGGACTGAATATTCTGCCTTCCTAGTTGTTCCAGCCCAGCTGGCCTGGAGAGTAAGAGACTAAGAAAGGGAATCAAATCAGTAGGATGGCCCATCTGCTGCTGTTTGAGATATTCTTGACACTTGGACATTCCTGTAATTAAGCCAATTTCTTTTTAAAATTGTTCCCTTTTAAACTGTAACACTCTCCACATAAATACGGAATGCTGCACAATTAAATCTGTAAGTCATGAGACCTGTTCCCAGGAGTTCCAAAAGTTAGTACACAATGAAAATAATCCAGAAAAGAAGAGCTGTTGAAAAGGGGAGACAACATTGGCCAGAAATGTAAATGATCCTAGCTGCATAAGCACAGGATTTGGGGAGAGATTTCTCAGACCATTGGGACTGCCTCTCGAGTGTCTGGACTCCCAGTGACATCAGTGAACACTGAATAGACTAGAGAAGAAAACAGATATGAGGCTTGTCCCAAAGACGACAGATCCTGAGCTCCACCAGCATCCAGATTCCTGCTAAGTGGGGGATATTATTTTCTTGATTTAAAATAAATCGTGTTCAATTATGTTCAAATGTCAGACAGAAACCCATGTATGTTGGTGGTAGTGGGGGAGGTCGCCTGAAAGAAAAACCAAATTTCCCATTGTAGATAGGTAGGTAAGTGCCAAAACAAAAAGGCCTTATACAAAGTCCTTAAGTCAGCCTCAGAGGGACTCTGGAAGACTCATTTAGCGAAGAATGTCCATAGAGTGGGGGGCCCTGAACAGACAAAGCAATGGCACTATCCAGTCTGAACTTCAGAAAAGTCAGCAAGGACAGGCTGGTCAATCACAACTGCTTTACAGGCTCACAGCAGAGGAATAATCACCCAGGTTCCTTAGGCCTAAATCATGAAGGGCTTTACAAATATCAGCCACATAGTTCACCATAACTCTCAATTTAAATTTTGGAATCACCACCACCTCTGGCCAAGAAAGAGGAAGGAGTGCCAAAAACATTATATTCAGTTTTAAACACTAGGTGTACTACAATTATGTGTTTTAAAATGGCACATCCCCTAGAGGCTAAAGGCAGGCACCCATCAAAAAATGTATGCAAGAATTATGTGATTTTGCAATGCTTCCTTTATGTGGAATTTGCAACGCAAGTTCTCTTTACAATGAAAAACGCAAGATACAATAGAAGCAGAGTACAGGAGGGGCAAAATTGAAGCCAAAGCTCAGTGACTAGATATGAGCAAGGGATAATAAATTCATCCTGTGGATAATAATTTACCAGATTCCTCCACCATAAAACAACCCAAGCCAATATGATATTTTAAAAGAATCATTGACAAGAAAATGAGTGTAGGATCTCTGTAATGTAGCAGTTTTATGTTATCATTTGTCCTGGGCTACTGGCTATTTCTCACCCCCTTTATTAGCCAACTAAGAGAGTTTTTTGTAGCTACTGGCCCAAGCTATAAAGTTCAGATCTGAATTCGAATTAGAACTTCCCAAAGTTCAGTTGTGTTTGGGTTCATGATTCCTGCTCACGGCCATCTCCACTGTTTTATAAGGGCATCAATATTCAAAAAAGCCAGATTTTAAAACATGATTTATAATGGTACAAATGGGGATTAAACACAGAAAACACATTTGCATGCTGACAAGTAATGAATTGCACAGACAATCAGTTATATGTGGGTAACAATTGGAAGACAGCAAAATAAGGCTCAAATGTGGCCAGGAAAGTTTAGAAGCTCAAAAATTATGGGAACCTGAAGATACAGTGGGCATATACTGTTACTAAACTCCTTTTCAATTACATTTTACTGATGCCGTATACATTTCATCCGCTTGATTTGTCTAACAGTAACACCGGTGGCAAAGCAGAGAGTTTGCTGTGTGATTATATAACTTTGTCATGGATGAGGCTAATTTCACAAGTGAAGTATTTAGAGTTCTTTTCACAGTAATAATAAATACCACATAGTTACTGGTTCACAGTTGACACATCAGACAGAGTCCTGGCTTGGAAGACTGTACTCTGGAGAAATAAGCCAAGGAATATTCCCCATTTGATATAAACTATACAGAATGCCACGCTTTTAAAGCAGTAGTTATCCCATGATTTGAGAAGTTGTATGCTGATGGTGCCTTTAATTTTTTACAGTTTGCAAACTATGGGATTATTTTTCTGATTTTAAAGAAAACATTTAGAGACTGACACATTTAGCAATAGCAAGAGAACAACAACAAACAACTGAAGAAATTCTATGATCAAGAAACCTCTCAGCTCAAGAATAGAGGGAGAGGAAGGAACTTGTGTTAACAATGGAATTTTTATATTAAAAAGTAAATGAAAATAATCTATCCCTAGAACATAAATCTCCCAAGGCTATGCCATTTAATACTGCAAAATGAACATTAAGTCTCACTGAAATGCCATCAGAAGGAGCATATTTTTCATATTTTCCAGTGAAATACCACAAGTATTTTTTTCTTACAGCATTTCAGTGAAAGCCACCGTTACAGCTCTAAAGGACTTCAGGTTTCACACAGAGGAAAATGTTCCTCCGCTTGATTCATTTTCAAAGGATGCGGAAAGTAACAGCACAACAAATGGTTCTTTCCATTAAATGGGGGACAGTTCCCCACAGGAACTCTCACAAAAAGTGACTCTCACAGGATTGCACAGAATCACCCCAGGAAACAAGCTAAAAGGATGATGCTCCCTGGAACCTGGTTTTAATTTCTGAGGTTCCCCCTACAACACATTCAGTTAGTGCCCCCACTTCAAACTGTAGCTAACGGGAGGCACTGTGTGAGCATCCTGTAGGACTGGAAGTACGGAATTCCTGAGTTCTAACCCTGCACCAACATGCTGAATTATTTGTGATGATTCATCCAAGCAAGTGGGAACACAGGAATTTCCATATTGGATCTGAACAGTAGCCTCTCTAGTCCAGGATCTTGACTTTGACAGCATCTTCATAGGTAGTGCAAGAAATGCTGTAGTGAAGTTCTAGAATAATCTCCCTACGGGGAAGTGTCTTCCCAACCTGCATCAGTCAGAGATTGGTTATGAGGGCTTATATCTATCCTAAATTATTTTTAATAATTTCTAATGTAAATGGAGATATTCTCATTGTCCTATGAAAATCTAATCCTTTTCTGAATTATTCCCAGTTCTTTTCCTTAACGTTATACTGTGGCAATGAATTCCCAAGGCTAATTACGAGTTACGTATTCCCTTATTTTACCAATATTCAGTTTGCTGCTTTGCCATTTTATTTAATGTCCCCTTATTCTTTTACTCTGAGAAATGAAAACAGGATTGAGCCAATCTATCAAGCCATTCGTTATTTTGTATACCTCTATCAACTAGGCTGTCTCAATCCCCTCAGTCTCTTTTCATAAAGAAATGTTTATATGGCTCCACTCATTTTCATTCTGTCTCCAAATCCCCTGTATCTTTTCAGAGACAATGAGACCAGAATTTAACCCACTCAGGGTGAGGGTGCACCACTGAAGTATATTAGAGCATTATAATATTTTCAATAGTATTTTGCATCCCATTGCCTTACGCATCTGAATAGTCGTTTGGTCATTCTGATACTCCATAGAGTTATGCCAAGAAAGAATCTAATGCATCATGTGTAATTAAGACAGAGAGGGCACCTGTGTATCAGCATATTGATCACTACACAACAACAGAGGAATGCTCTATTGAAAAAAGCCCCCCAGCTTTCAGCATGTCTAAAAGTTTATAGCGAAAGTGAATGTTGGGAAGACCTAGCTACACAAATCAGTTAAACTTTAGGAAACTATAACTAAGCTAAATGATAATATCAGGATCAAAAAGATGGAATTCTTCTTTTCTGAGAACTAATATTGACCTACCTCGAAATCTATCAGCTGCAAGTTGGCTATAAGTGTCACTAGCAGGCCACTGTTGTATAATTCTTGTGCCAGTTGAGCCACTGTTTCCGTAGGTGGCTCCTTGTCACTAGTACCACACAGAATTTCCTTCATTGCTTGCAGTGATTTTGACACTTCTTCTGATGCCTGGTAATCAAACAGGACATTAACAGTTAAAGAACAAACCAACTTCAGTGTAAATAAAATTGGTAACAGAGAAAAACTGTTCAAACAAAACTTCAAACAGATTCCAGTACAAAAAATGGTTAATGTTATTAAATGGTTTACTAGATTTTTGCATACACTGGGGCTGGAACATTCACGCTGGATCCTGCAGCCCTTACTCAGGCAAAACCACATACTAATTCAGCTGTCGGTGAACTTAAATGCAACATACCATATATTCATATGTGTAATATGCATAAAATGGGGTCAGATTCTGGGGTAAAGGTGTAAGATACACCTCCCTGTGTTAGCAAGGCCCCTTTATGTTTCAGGAGGCATTCACTCCAAACTAAGGCAGGGGATGTTTCAGCTGCCATCTTCCCTCAAGTTTCCAGCAAAGGACTCCACAAGAACTCCGCAAGAAGGAGGTGTTGAGGGACACACTGAATCAGCACACTCCCCAGCTGCCTTGGATATATACCTTTTCCGTCTAAAGCCCCTTATTTTTGGGGCTGCACTGGCCTCACTACAGTTGACCGAGTAACTCCTTACAGACAGTGTCAGCTTTGCACCACTGCAACCTACTCTTCCCATAACAGTGTTTTTGCCACTTAGATCCTAAAACCAACCAGCAAGCCTGGCCCATTACCTTTAACTAGGAACTTATCGATGGAGTGTACAGATATCTAGATTGCAGGTTAAGGTAAACAACCTAACCTGCTTCCATTAAAACAAAACAATTGTCACTAAGCAAAAACAAAGCCAAATATCCTTCATCCTCCACTCCTTCACAGTTTATTTTAAAATACTTCTGATGAGCACAACTTTTCAGGTGCATCAACCATGAGTGCAAGATACAAAATCTGGATGATGCTTCAGATCCACTAGAAGGATTTGAATCCAGGGTTTTGGTTTGGCCAAGAAGAAAGACTGGAGCCATTTGTAAAGTCTGATTCCAAACCAGGTTAAGATTTTGAACGTCTCAAATTTTGGTGGATATTCATAGAATCCAAGGCCAGAACAGACCACTGTGATCATCTAGTCTGACCTCCTGTATAACACAGGCCATAGACCTTCTCCAAAATAATTTCTAGAGCATATCTGTTAGAAGAACATCCAGTCTTCAAACATTCAGATCCAAGCTTCTGGTCTGAGCCTCTCTCTAGTTTTACTCCTGAGGGTACTCTGCGCCAAAAAGTTTAAATTTCTGCACACAATATTTTAAAATTCTGCAAATTTTATTTATTTGTCAAATAAACATGGAGGCTCCAAGCATGGCATTGGGGAGCAGAGGCCATTGGCAGCACAGAGGTGGGAGATCACTGTGCATCCTGCCTCCCCGCCACAGTACATGGACTCAGTGGTGACGCTGTACCCAACCCTGACACAGCACAAGGACCGGCTCTGCCCCTCCATGCCAGGTGCACCAGGTGTGGGCAGGCAGGCTCAGCAAGACAGGATTCAAGGGTGGAGGGGCTTAGTGTGGGGGGATCCAGGTGTGGGTTGAGAGGGTTCTGTGTCGGGCAATCTGGGTGTGGGCAGCTCAGTGGGGAAATCCATGTGGGTGTGTGTGTGGGGGGGGAAATCTGGATGCACGGGGGCTTGTTGGGGATTGTGGATGCAACTGTAATGGGACTCTGCAGGGGGTCCAGGTGAAGGTAGTTGGTGCTCATCAGGAAGAGGTCTAGGTGTGGGGGTGATAGAGCTCAGCAGGGGGATCTGGGTGTGGGGAGCTCAGTGGGGCAGTGATCAATGTGCAGCTGGTTGGGGCTTGGTAGGGTGGGGATTTGGGTGTGGGTGGCTCATTGGAGTGATCCAGGTGCAGGGGGAGTGGGGCTCGGAGGGGGTTCTGGGTGCGGGGATGGGTGAGGCTCGACAGGAGGGTTTGGGTATGAGGGGGTCTGGATGCATGCATGTTGGGCAGATGGGGGAGCAGCTCCCTGTACAGGGATCCCAGTCTCTGCAGCTGAGGAGCGATGGGTGCAGGAAGCACGGGGCATGGAGTTTGCAGAGCTTCCTACAGATGAGGGAGAACTCTAGGGGTGGGTCTGACACAGCCTTGGATGCTGTGCAGGGGAAGAGTCAGCGCAGGGTAGGAGCCACCAGCCCAGTCTTCCCTAGTCCCGCCCTCTGCCCCATAGTGATTTACCTCTCTGCCGGCTGTCCTTGGCACCCAAAACATACTGCTGGGGAGGGTCGCACGACTGCTCTTATGGCTTCCCTTTGCTCCCCCATCAGAAAATCATTGTTCTGTGTGGAAGCAAAGATATCTGCCGGGGACATAAATTCTGCACATGCGCATTGGTACAGATTTCCCCCTGGAGTATAGTTTCTACTGAATGAAAAGTCTTTCAGTGTTTGAAAGAACAAGATGATAAAGCTACATAAATAATCCCCACCGCATGCTAGAGAAAACCACATGATATATAGATTGTAAGCATTTCAAGGTAGAGACTTTGAGATGGGTCTGACCTCACACCACAATTATACTGATACAACTCTATTAACTCCAATGGAATTAATCCAAATTTACAGGAGAGACACACTGGAATCAGCCCCCCCTTCCTGATTTCATACCCAACTGCAAAGCTTCCAGCATGCACTTTGCACTATATAAAATAACAAATACTATTTACCTCCTAATTGTACCAAGTTTGCAGTTGTCCACTAATTTGGATAGGTCAATATGTGAGGAGATTAATCTACATTCCCTTCCCAATGAAAGTTTTATTTGGCCACAATAGAAGGCTTTCTTTTCTCAAACATTTCTCATGGTCACCGTCTTTGATTAAGACAGCCCACTCTAAAAACATGCCTATTTCTAACCATCAGATGTTAATGGCACATCACTAGAGCTATCAAACAGAGTACAAAAGGACTTAGCAACGGGGATGTTATCTTGTGAATTGAAAACCTAAGTCTTTATGAAAACTGTGCAAATATTTTCATATCCAAAGCAAAACCTGTACATTTTTGGCTTTTCACCAGTTCTGGTTGGCTGGGTGTGAAAATTTCTGGCATTTTGCAGTAAAAACACAAAACAAAACAAAAAACAAATCACCACCCTGCTTTTCTCTCTAAACACAAATACTCCTTTCTGCCAGGCAGAAAATATTTGCAAGATTCAGACTTCAGTTGTAGCATCATAGAGCTATAGATAGGAAAATAAATAATTTAAAGGAAAAACAGACAAAAAAACCTAGGAGTTACACAGCATCTTGACTCAAATTCTGTCTTCATCTGTCTCATATCCTTCCTCTCCTTCACCTCTAAACTCCTTGCACATGTGGTCTACACTGACGACTTCAACATCTTCTTTTATTCACTCTTGGATACACTGCAATTTGGCTTTCACATACTCTCCTCCTGCAAAAGGATAAGTGTTCTTATCATGGTCAACAATAACCTAGGGTGACCAGACAGCAAGTGTGAAAAATCAGGACAGGGGGTGGGGGCTGTAATAGGCGCCTATATAAGAAAAAGCCCCAAATATCGGGACTGTCCCTATAAAATAGGAACATCTGGTCACCCTACAATAGCCCATTCCTGGCCAAGTTTAAGGGCCTGTTCTCTAGACTTAACCCTCATAATCTATGCGCAAAGAGACCCTGAAGCCTCAAATGCAGGTCCTTAATTTAAAGATCACTTCTAGCCTCTATTTTGCCACTTGTATTTAAGCTTCATAGTTCTTTATAATAGCTCCCATTGCTGAAGTACACAAGCACTTTATTCCTTGGAGGGAATCCCACTCCAGCCTTATATGCAGAAGACATTCTGTTCCAGGAACAAAAGTATCTGAGTACATCCATATGATCCAAGAAGCAAAGGACAAGAGAAACCTACAAAACCTAGTAGCTACAGACTGTGGATTTTGGAACTGTGCCTTTAAATTGTTTAGCTTCCCAAACCAGAAGTCTGGAGTAGAGGTGCAGCAGATTCCCAAGTTCTGTGATATAGAGACAGTTGGGGGAACTGTGTCACTGAACAAAGAGGCTCTCTTTCAAGCATCTTGGGCCTAAACTGATTATTGAATATCAAGATGAAATTCAATAAAGACAAGTGCAAAGTACTTCACTTAGGAAGGAAAAATCAAAAGCACAACTACAAAATGTGGTAGTACTGCTGAAAAGGATCTGGCCAGATAGTTGACCAGAAACTGAATACGAGTCATCAATGTGATGCAGCTGAACAGAAAGCGGATATGATTCTGGGGTGTATTAACAGGCGTGTTGTTTGAAAGACACAGAAGGCAATTGTCCCATTGGACAAAGCACTGGTGAGGCCCCAGCTGGAGTACTGTGTCCAATTCTGGGCACCACAATTTAGGAAAGATGTGGAGAATTGGAAAGAGTCGAGAGGAGAGCTACAAAAATGATAAGGTTTTTAGAAAACCTGACCTATGAGGAAAGGTTAAAAAAACTGGGCATGTTTAGTCTTGAGAGAAGAAGATTTGGGGGGCAGGGGACACCTGATAATAGTCTTCCAATATGTGAAGGGCTGTTATAAAAAGGACGATGATCAGTTGTTCTCCATGTCCACTGAAGGCACTAACAGGCTTAATCTGCAGTAAGGGAGATATTAGATATTAGGATAGTAGTAGTAGTAGGGGTTGTTAAGCTCTGGAATAAGCTTCCAAGGGAGATTGTGGAGTCCCCATTATTGGAAGCTTTTAAAAACAAGTTGGACAAACACCTGTCAGGGATGGTCTAGGTTTATTTGGTCCTGCCACAGCACAGGGGGCTGGACTCGATGACTTCTCTAAATCCCTTCCAGCCCTACATTTTTATGATTCTATGTTGTACCAGGAATAAACAGAAATGAGAAAAAATAAACCGAGTGGGAAAATGAGCAGATAAAAGCTTTGTTCTTTAGAGAAGCACACCTACCAAACTCCTTGAAAAATGCCATAGTCTGCCCAATCCTCAAAAAGTCAACATTTGACCCTGAAGATCTCTTCAACTTCCTGTTCCTCGAGGAAATAA